CTGGCCTAGGGAGGATTTTTAAATTGGGTTTCTTAGAAATTTTAATTACCACAACACTAAAATATTGGTTTTAATTTGGTTTTATTCGGTGGGGTGTGTGGGTTTGTCTTTGTTTTTTAAAAATGTTGTGAGCCGCCCTGAGTCCTTCGGGAGAAGGGCGGGATACAAATTGAATAAAATGAAATGAAAATGAAATGAATGAAGCCTGGAGGCAGGGGGGCTCTCTCTTTTTAGGACCCCATACCACATAGTTCAGTCTTTGGTTTTCTTCACAGGCTCACTATCCTGCCAGCTGCAGTCACATGTCTCAGTGGATGGATGATGGTGGTTTCTATGAAGGAATGACTGTGGAAGCCCAGAGTAAACACCTGGCCAAACTCATATCTAAACGCTGTCCAAGCTGCCAAGCTCAAATAGAGAAAAATGAGGGCTGTCTACAGTGAGTATGTTTTCCAGTACATTTCTGTATAAAGAGGAAAAAATATATATGGAAGCTTCAGCAATTTATGGTTTGCTGGACAGATTGGATTATTCTGCCTTCTCTCTCAAAGACAAATTGATTTGCGTCTTCCTCACTCTAGAGGCAAGAGGTTGCAAGACAAAGTAACACCCAATTTGATCAACTTTCTCCATCCTGGTGCCCTTTAGATATATGGAAACTACTATACCTAAACCACTCTGCCATTTTGGGGCATTTTCCCTAAGTAGTTTTCATAATACCAGTCCTATCTCCATTGTCATTTAAGGAACATTCTTTTCTCTTTTTAATCATGTCGATGTGTGGGTGTTATTTGTTATTATTGCTAACATTCCTTTGAAAAGTTAGAATGGAAAACTTGATGGATAGAAAGTACAGGTACTCACTAGGCTTCCTCCTTACATATTGGTTCCTGGTATCTGGGCACCTTGGCTCAACATTTACAGCCTTAGTTGCTCCTCATGTAATCTTAAATCTCACAGAGCAAATACAGTCCCAATAGAGCTTAAAAAAATATCTATTTATCATTTTATTTAGTATTTTCACTGACCATGTTTGGATGTGATGCCGTAGGCAGGGCATCACCTAAATATTACTATTTATCATATTTTGAAGAGAAAGTGTTCTCTAGCATTTGCTTTTATTTTTATCATTGAAGCAATGTTTCTTCCCTTTCCTTGTTAATACTGTGGTGTCTGTGGTTAATACTGTATGGCTTTCCATGTTTTATTTATTTGGTCAATTTATGTGGCCACCCATCTCACAAATTATAAAAAGCAATAAAAACATTAAAAACCATCACCCCACCCCATAATCTGCTGGAGAGTACACTCAAGTTCCTACCAACACAGCCATTTTGCAAGCTCTATGTTACTAGATTCCCCAGGCCAGATGGAAAAGCCATGTCTTAGAATGTTCCAGAAGTCCAATAAGGTGGGGATCAGTCTGAATTCAGGGGGAATTAATTTCCAAATGGGGGGTACTGTGGTAGAAAAAAGCTTTCCTACTGGGTCCCATCAGATGATGTTTCTTGGTGGAGGGACCTGGAGCTTGCTCATTAACATGTACTTAGCTGAAACAGCCCTAGAGTTTCTTTTCACATTAATGACCCAAAAAATGAAGTTGGTGGCCACATCTTACTAATGGCCCTCATCCCCGTTATATGCAGTATGACTTGTGCCAAATGTAACCATGGATTTTGTTGGCGTTGCCTGAAACCTTGGAAACCAACCCATAAGGACTACTACAACTGCTCTGCCATGGTAAGTGTTTATGCAAAAGACAAATAACTTTTCTGATACAGGAATATTCTTTTCTAAGGGAATATAAGTAGTAATATATTTTTTTTTTAGGGTAAAGCAAGTCCAGGTATTTTTTTTATTTATCCTGGCATATGGTAAATAATATTACTTTTGTTTTTTTATTATTATATACCAATTACTAACTCTTTTATGTTTTCAAAGTATAATTACGCCTGTAGTTTTGGACTTCTTTTCCAATGTATATATAAAATCTACATTTTATATATATAGTTCTAAGAAATTTTAAAAGAAATAATGTTTGCTGTTACTTTGAATAATTGCATTCCATTTCTCTCCTTCAGGTAAGCAAAGCAGCTCGACAGGAAAAGCGTTTCCAAGACTATAATGAAAGGTGCATTTTTCATCATAAAGCAAAGGTCAGGATCACTGTTCTGTACCCTAACATGCATCATCAACCATGTACTTTTATGCATTGGTCATCTTAGAATATTTAACTATAGACCATTCTAGTCATTGAGAACAGTAATATGTCATCACTTCATCCAGTGAAAAGGCAATTTAGAAAGATTGTTTTGTTTCAAAACCAATAAATGAAATTAAACCTTATTATTAGAAGAGAAAATGCCTTTTCCTCATACTTTCTGCCTTTTATCAGGAAAGTAGAG